CGTCGTGGTCGTGGACGTGGACGTGGACGTGGACGTGGACGTGGTCGTGGACGTGGTGGACGTGGACGTGGCCGTGGACGTGGACGTGGACGTGGTGGACGTGGACGTGGCCGTGGACGTGGACGTGGACGTCGTGGACGTGGTGGTGGTGGACGTGGACGTGGCCGTGGACGTGGACGTGGACTTGGACGTGGACCTGGACATGGACGTGGACGTGGTCGTGGACGTGGTGGACGTGGAAGTGGTCGTGGACGTGGACGTGGACGTGGACGTGGACGTGGTGGACGTGGACGTGGCCGTGGACGTGGACGTGGACGTAGACGTGGACGTGGTCGTGGACGTGGTCGTGGACGTGGACGTGGAGATGGAGGTGGACGTGGTCGTGGACGTGGACGTGGTCGTGGACGTGGACGTGGACGTGGACGTGGAGGTGGTTGTGGACGTGGACGTGGTCGTGGACGTGGAGGACTTGGACGTGGACGTGGTCGTCCACGTGGACGTCGACGTGGACGTGGACGTTGTCAACGGGAGTTGGGTATTGGCCCCGTCCTCGCTTGGGCGGATCCGACTTCGTGGTCGGGTGTGAGGGGAGCAGCCGGCCTTCAGCAGTGGGTGAGCTGGTCGACGAGGAGGTCGACCTGCACGGGGGAACACTGCACGGGCGCCGAATTCAGGGTGGCGCCGACTTCAGGGAGGTCGACTTGGGTGTCGACCTGCGGAGGACGTCAACTTGGTGACGTCAACTTGGGGAAGCCGACTTCGGCAGTCGGCTAACGGACTGCTGGTCGACCTGTTAAGTGGTCTACTGGACCTGGTGGTCGACGAAGGAGGGGCTGACGTCGACCTTGACTCAGGACGCCAAGCAGTTGGGCGTCGAGTAGCGGGGCGCCAACTTCGTGACGCCAGCTTCGGGTGGCCGACGTGGGTGGTCGGCCGACGACTGTGCTGGTCGACGAGGAGCAGGTCGACTAGGAGTGCTGGTCGACGTGGAGCTGGTCGACCAGAGGGGATGTCGACCTGGAGGAGGTCGACCGATGGTGTCGTCGACCTGGTGAGGTCGACGTGGAGGTGGTCGTCGACTTGGGAGGTCGACGGGCACGTACGGGAGCTGCTGGTCGACGTGGTTGCCTGGTCGACCAGGTTACCTGAGTGACGAAGTGCTGCGGAGGAGTGCGACGGTCGCCCAGGCGAAGTTGGCGAGCCCGACCTCGGTGGTGGTATCCCGAGGTCGTCGTGGCGGATCAGAGGCAGTCGTCAGCTCGAGATTGACGAGGTGTGTGCGCTGTGCAGGTAAAAAGACTCTGCGCGCCAATCATCTGCGCACAACTGCGAAGCAGGGTGCACTGCTGTCCTGCGTGAGCAATGCTGTCGACGAAGTCGTGCTGGAACGCGGTCGACCAAGCTGCGCTGGCAGTTGGCCGACCTGAATGCTTGCTCTGATGTAGTCTTGCTATGCCAACTTCATTGCATCATTGTTCTGAACTTTTCCTAGTGAAACTCTTGCGAATTTTCCCCGTGAACTAGCAAGTAGTGTGTGCACAAGGAAAACGACTAAGGACTAACGAACGCACAGATCACACGAGCACACGTGCCTAGCCCGTAGCCTAGCTCCCGTTGCTGCAGTTATCTCCGCATGGTGCAGTGAGCGTGGATCGAACACGCGACGTAGTTCAGTCTAGCCGACTTAGCACATACTGATCGTGTTTGTAGACCGGCAGCCGTGAAGTCACTAGCGTGCGCGTAGGCGACGCCGAGGTGATGGACACCCTGGAGGGACGGCTGGAGGATGCGAGGAGACGCCATGAGGCTCAGGAGTATGGGGCGATACCCTGGGCAGTCGTCGAGGCCGGACTCCGCTCCGTGTGGGCGGGGGAGCATCCCCCTTCTCGACCTGCCTCTCCTCGACCGGTGAACAACGACGGCGGCGTCGATGTGGGCGTCAACGCCGGTGGAGGTCAGGTCGGCAGCAGTGTGGGAGGCACGTCGAGGCAACGAGGTGTGATACACGCCGGTGAAGCCGGCGGCATTCAGGCGAGAGGGATGCAGTCGTCGGCGGCTGCAGGCTCCTCACATGGTGACGGCGGTGGGCATCGAAGTGGGCTGTCGCCGATGACGGCGTCCCAGGTGACGGCAGGTGGGATGGCACCGAGCTACGGCTACTTCAAGTTTACGCCGGACAGGATCTCGGTCACCCCTCCGCTGGTCGGTCGACCCGACATTCTCACCTGGAAGGAAGCCATCGAGCCCCAGCTGGAGATGGCCGGGCTGATCGGCTTCGCCCGAGGGACCGTGGCGACGCCGAGTGAGCACCACCCCGACCTGCGTGCGGAGTTTCGCGCCGTGCAGCTGTTGACCTTCACGGTCATCTCGCGGTGCTGCTCGCCGGGCGTGCAGATCGCCTTGAGTACCTCGACGCCGGCCACCGGGCGTGGCACTTCATTGAGTCAACGTACCAGGTCACCGACGACCTGTTCATCGCCCAGCTGGAGGGACAGCTGACACACCTGCGTATGGGCGACGAGGAGAGTGCGACCGACTACTGCAACCGAGCCGGGCGAATCCTCTCCACCATCAGGATGGCCGGCGCGCAGTACTCCACGGCGTTGTACATCACCGATGTCATGCAGGGACTGTCTAGCAGCTATAACCTCCTGAAGCGGCTGTCTAGGGCGACGCTCAACGAGGACAACCTGACCTCGTACATCCTGCAGGACGAGGCGATGCAGGAGGCTGAGCGATCACAGGAGCTCTTGGCGCAGGCCAACTTCGTCGCTCCGTCAAAGCAAGGAGGCCGACCAGGACAGCAAGGACAGTCAGGTGGCGGCGGGAGCGGTGGCTAGAAGTCGACCAAGGAGGTCGAGAAGAAGTCCACCAAGGACGGCGGTCGAGGAGGAGGAGGTCGACGTCGGGAGTGCTGGATCTGCCACAGCCCCGATCACCTCTCCTTCGATTGTCCCGACCGCAGTGACTCCGACAACGACGACAAGGGCGGCCGCGGGAGGTCTGGCAGCCGTCGTCCTCGTCGTGGAGGAAATCATCCGCGCAAGGAGAAACAGTCGACCAAGGCATCGACTTCGGCGAAGGACGCCGACTCCGTTGCAGGCGCCAAGGGGCGAGACGACAAGATGGCGTCGTGCTCGCTGGTCGGCGTCGTGGAGCCGACCATCTCTCTGGCGCCGGAGGCCGGAGAGGACTTCCAGGCGGTGGCGGGGGCTGTGCAGGCGAACTCGGCGGTGGTCCTGCTCGACAGCGGTTGCTCCCACCACCTGATGGGAACGAAGGAAGCCTTCGTTGACCTGCAGCCGAGTGGCTCCATCAAGCACGTGCGCGGCTTCAATGGGGCGCTGCAGGACGTTCGGGGCAGTGGCACCGTCGCTCTGCGAGGAGAGGCCGGGAAGGAGGTGCTCATCCCCGACGTGTTGTACGTCCCAGGTGTGCGAGCCAACCTGCTGTTGGCCGGCCAGCTGAAGGAGCACGGAGTGAAGCTGCAGGAGGACGGAGACGGCATGCTGCTCGTCTCGGCAGCAGGGGAGGTGCTCGGGCGGGCAACGTACTCTGGGCGAGTCCTCTGCACCGACCTGCGTCCCTGCGCGACGAGGTCGACGCCGCCCACGTCGGAGGTGGTGGCTCTGCGGGCGATCGTCTCGAAGACGAAGTCGACGCCGGACCGGATGCATGCGAGGCTTGCACATGTCGGCATGGACACCATACGGAGCTCAGCAAAGAACGAGGTCGCCACTGGGCTAGACCTCAAGTCGGCGACGGACGCCGGCTCCCCGTGTGTCTCGTGCGTCGGCGGGAAGCTGGCGCGACACACCTTCCCCGACCAAGGCTCCGACGCCGACGATGTGCTGGCCGTCGTGCACATCGACCTGTGCGGGCCATTCCGCGTGGCTGCCAAGGATGGCAGCCTGTACTTCTTGTTGCTGAAGGACCGCAAGACCCGCTACGTGTGGGTGAAGCCGGTCACCAAGAAGTCAGATGCGTTGCCGGCGTTCGTGCAGTGGCTGGCAGTGGCTGAGCGGCAGACGAAGAGGTCGGTGTTAATGCTGCGCTCTGACCGGGGAGGGGAGTTCCTCGGGAAGCAGTTCACCGACTTCGTGAACGGCAAGGGGATCGTCCACGATCTGACCTGCCCATACACCCCGCAGCAGAACGGCATGGCGGAGCGGGAGATGAGGACGGTGGTGGAGTCGGTGCGGACAATGCTGCTGCACATGGGCGTGCAGCACCACTGGTGGCACCTCGCTCTCCGGCAGGCCGTCTGGGTCCGCAACTGCCTTGAGAGGTCGGCGCTGCCGCCGGGGACGACGCCGTACCAACTGCTGACCAGGAAGAAGCCCGACTTGTCGCTGGCGCGGGTGTGGGGCTGCATGGCGCAGTTCTTAGTCACCGAGCAGCAGCGTGGTGGGAAGCTGCAGCCGAAGGCCAGGTGGGGCCTGCACCTTGGCGTGTCGGCGGCGAGCAAGGGCTGGGAGCTCCTCGACGTCGACGCCGACCGGGTGGTCACCACGTCGGATGTGGTGTTCTACGAGGAGCTGTCTCTGGCCGAATGGAAGACGGAGTACGGGTCGGTGTCCGGCTGCTCGTCGCCCACCCCGCCCTCTGACACCTCGTCGGCGACGCTACCACTGCTTGCCGAGGTCGGTGAGCTTGCTATTACGGACGTCGAGGACGTCCGCCCTAACCCCTCCCCCTCCGACCCCTGCCCCTCCCCTCGTGGCTGACCTGCTTGGGCTGACCTCGGTGTCGGCCTCCGGCGATGAGGGGAGTAGTGGGACGTCGCCTTCGGCCAAGTGCATCGCCGGTGGCCGACGTGACGAGCGTCAGGTCGACGTGGGATTGCAGTCGACGTCGACAGGGGAGGAGCAGGTCGAGAAGCAGGTCGAGGACCAGCGGCCGACAAAGGAGCAGGCAGCAGTGACGCCGACCAAAGAGCAGTCGGCAACCGGGCCGTCGGCAGGGGAGCCGACCACAGGGGAGAAGTCGGCTGGGAAGCCGGCCGCAGTAGAACAGTCGGCTGGGACGCCGACTGAGGAACAGCAGGACGCCGAGGGCAGCGACGACAGTGACGATGGAGGGGATGCCGAGGAGGCCCAGTCGGGACCACGGCGTTCGGGCCGACTTCGGAGGCCGCCCGACTTCTTCGTCCCCGCTGCCTTCACCACGGTGTATGACGTGGACGATGACGACGACCTGCTGTACGATGACGCCGAGGATGATGAGGAGTTTCCAGAGCTCGACCCTAACATCCTAGCCGACCGCGAGCACCGTTGGGACATCTCGACGATGACGGTGAAGGAGGCATTGGCGAGCTGGAAGGGCCCGGCGGTGAAGGCCGCCATGGAGGAGGAGATTCGCAGCCTCCTCAACATGGGAACGTGGGAGTTGGTCGAACGTCCGCCGGGAGTGAACGTCATGAAGAACCGGTGGGTGTTGACGACGAAGTACCACGTCGACGACACCGTCGAGCGCGAGAAGGCGAGGCTGGTTTGTGAAGGGCTTCACGCAGGTGTACGGCGCCGACTACAACGAGACGTTCGCGCCGGTGGGCAGCTACGTCACGCTGAGGATCTTCCTCAGCATCGTCGCCGTCCGCAACCTCAACCTGATGCAGCTCGACATGAAGAACGCCTTCTTGCAGAGCAAGCTCGACAGGGTGCTCTACATGTCCCAGCCGGACTACTTCAACGACGGGACCGGCCGGGTGTGCAAGCTGCTGAAGAGCCTGTACGGGCTAAAGCAGTCGCCGCTGCTATGGTACTTGGCGCTCAATGACGTGCTGGTCGGCGCCGGGTGGAAGAAGAGCCAGGTCGACGAGGCTCTCTACTTCAAGGACGGAAAGGACGGAGTGGCCTGCTGGGTGCTGGTCTACGTCGACGACCTACTTGCCGCCAGCAGTAGCGCCGCGATGTTGAAGGAGCTGAAGGAGCTTCTGGAAGCCGCCTTCGAGCTGCGTGAGATCTCGCCGGTGCAGAAGTACCTCGGGCTGGAGATCGTCCGCGACAGGTCGGCGGGGAAGCTGTGGCTGCACCAGCAGGGCTACGCCAAGAGGCTTCGTAGGCGCTTCATCGACGAGGAGCAGACCGGGCGCACCCCGAAGACGCCGGTCTCGGTCGATGCCTACGCCGAGCTCACGTTCGATGACGAGGAGGCACGGGAGCGGGAGGAAGAGGAGTACCGGCAGAAGGTCGGCTCGCTGTAGTTCGCGGCGACGACGACGAGGCCGGACATCGCCTTCGCCTGCAGCAAGCTGGGGAGCGGCCTCACGGTGAGGAGCAACCAGCACTGGCGCGAGGTCGACCGCTGCCTCGCCTACCTCGCCAATACGCGCGACACCGCACTGGAGTTCGGCGGTGGACCTGAGTCGCTGGAGCTGGTCGGCTACGTGGACGCCGACGACGCCGGTGACAAGCAGAACAGGACGAGCACGGGTGGCTACGTGTTCGTCTATGGAGGGGCCGCAGTCTCCTGGTCGAGCCAGCGCATCAAGTGTGCGACGTTGTCATCGACTGAGTCGGAGTACGTGGCAGCCACCGAAGCCGGCAAGGAAGGACGCCGACTTCGCTTCCTCCTCACAGAATTCCGGCAACTGGACGCCGGGAAGCCGACTGTCCTGCGAGTGGACAACAAGTAGGCCATCACGGTCGCCGAGGGCATGGGGTTGACACGCAACCTCAAGCACATGGAGCGGCGACAGGCCTGGCTGCAGCACATGGTGAAGCGCGGGAAGTTCTCGCTGTAGTACATCCCAACCGCTGAGCAGCCGGCCGATTTCCGGACGAAGGCGCTGCACTATCCGGCCTTCAACCGGTGCTCCGTCGCAATCGGTCAGGTGCGCTTGGCCGACGTGAGCGACGGCGACAACGACGTGCAGCAGTAGGTGCCATGCCCTCTTGCATGGCTGGTGCGGTGACCAGCGTGCTGTGTGTTGGGTGCACGCTAACGGGCTATTCTCAGAGCTGTACTGCCGTGTGGGCTGGGTGCCCAAGCGTGAACGCGGCAGGGGAGTGTCAACGGGAGTTGGGTATTGGCCCCGTCCTCGCTTGGGCGGAGCCGACTTCGTGGTCGGGTGTGAGGGGAGCAGCCGGCCTTCAGCAGTGGGTGAGCTGGTCGACGAGGAGGTCGACCTGCACGGGGGACCACTGCACGGGCGCCGACTTCAGGGTGGCGCCGACTTCAGGGAGGTCGACTTGGGTGTCGACCTGCGGAGGACGTCAACTTGGTGACGTCAACTTGGGGAAGCCGACTTCGGCAGTCGGCTAACGGACTGCTGGTCGACCTGTTAAGTGGTCGACTGGACCTGGTGGTCGACGAAGGAGGGGCCGACGTCGACCTCGACTCAGGACGCCGAGCAGTTGGGCGTCGAGTAGCGGGGCGCCAACTTCGTGACGCCAGCTTCGGGTGGCCGACGTGGGTGGTCGGCCGACGACTGTGCTGGTTCACGAGGAGCAGGTCGACCAGGAGTGCTGGTCGACGTGGAGCTGGTCGACCAGAGGGGATGTCGACCTGGAGGAGGTCGACCGATGGTGTCGTCGACCTGGTGAGGTCGACGTGGAGGTGGTCGTCGACTTGGGAGGTCGACGGGCACGTACGGGAGCTGCTGGTCGACGTGGTTGCCTGGTCGACCAGGTTACCTGGGTGACGAAGTGCTGCGGAGGAGTGCGACGGTCGCCCAGGCAAAGTTGGCGAGCCCAACCTCGGTGGTGGTATTCCGAGGTCGTCGTGGCGGATCAGAGGCAGTCGTCAGCTCGAGATTGACGTGGTGTGTGCGCTGTGCAGGTGACAAGACTCTGCGCGCCAATCATCTGCGCACAACTGCGAAGCAGGGTGCACTGCTGTCCTGCGTGAGCAACGCTGTCACGCCGTCAACCTGCGACGTTGGCACGCCGTCGACCTTGCCTTGCTAGAGCGCTGTCGACGAAGTCGTGCTGGAACGCGGTCGACCAAGCTGCGCTGGCAGTTGGCCGACCTGAATGCTTGCTCTGGTGTAGTCTTGCTATGCCAACTTCATTGCATCATTGTTCTGAACTTTTCCTAGTGAAACTCTTGCCAATTTTCCCCGTGAACTAGCAAGTAGTTTGTGCACAAGGAAAACGACTAAGGACTAACGAACGCAGAGATCACACGAGCACACGTGCCTAGCCCGTAGCCTAGCTCCCGTTGCTGCAGTTATCTCCGCACACGTGGTCCTGGACGTGGTCGTGGACGTGGTCGTGGACGTGGTCGTCCACGACGTGGACTTGGACGTGGACAAGGACGTGGACGTGGATGTGGTCGTCCACGACGTGGACCTGGACGTGGTCGTGGACGTGGACGTGGACGTGGACGTGGACGTGGTCGTGGACGTGGACGTGGATGTGGACGTGGTCGTGGACGTGGACGTGGACGTGGACGTGGTGGACGTGGACGTGGACATGGAGGACGTGGACGTGGACGTGACATGGACGTGGACGTGGACGTGGTTGTGGACGTGGAGGTGGACGCGGACGTGGACGTGGAGGTGGACGCGGACGTGGACGTGGATGTGGACGTGGTCGTGGACATGGAGGACTTGGACGTAGACGTGGTCGTGGAGGTGGACGTGGACGTGGACGTGGTAGTGGACGTGGACGTGGTCGTGGACATGGACGTGGACGTGGACGCGGACGGGGACAGGGACGCGGACGGGGACGGGGACGTGGACGGGGACGTGGACGTGGACGTGAACGTGGACGCGGTCGTGGACGTGGTCGTGGACGTGGACTTGGAGATGGACGTGGACGTGGACGTGGACGTGGAGGTGGTCGTTGACGTGGACGTGGTCGTGGACGTGGACGTGGACGTGGTCGTGGACGTGGACGTGGCTGTGGAGTGGACGTGGACGTGGACGTGGACGTGGATGTGGTCGTGGAGTGGACGTGGACTTGGACTTGGACGTTGACGTGGACTTGGACGTAGACGTGGTCGTGGACGTGGACGTCGACGTGGACGTGGTTGTGGTCGTGGTCGTGGATGTGGACGTGGACGTCGACGTGAACGTGGAGGTAGTCCTGGATGTGGTCGTGGACGTGGTCTTGGACGTGGTCGTCCACGACGTGGACTTGGACGTGGACGTGGACGTGGACGTGGACGTGGTCGTCCACGACGTTGACCTGGACGTGGTCGTGGACGTGGACGTGGACGTGGACATGGTCGTGGACATGGACGTGGACGTGGACGTGGTCGTGGACGTGGACGTGGACGTCGTGGACGTGGACGTGGAGGACGTGGACGTGGACGTGGACGTGGACGTGGACGTGGACATGGACGTGGACGTGGTCGTGGACGCGGACGTGGACGTGGACGTGGACGTGGTCGTGGAGTGGACGTGGACTTGGACATGGACGTGGTCGTGGACGGGGACGCGGACGTGGACATGGACGGGGACGCGGACGGGGACGGGGACGTGGACGTGGACGTGGTCGTGGACGTGGTCGGGGACGTGGACGTGGTCGTGGACGTGGACGTGGACGTGAACGTCGTGGACGTGGACGTGGTCGTAAACGTGGTCGTGGACGTGGACGTGGACGTGGACTTGGACGTGGACCTGGACGTGGACGTGGCCGTGGACGTGGACGTGGACGTGGTGGACGTGGACGTGGCTGTGGACGTGGACGTAGACGTGGACGTGGACGTGGTCGTAGACGTGGGCGTGAACGTGGACGTGGAGATGGACGTGGACGTGGTCATGGATGTGGACGTGGTCGTGGATGTGGACGTGGACGTGGACGTGGACGTGGACGTGGTCGTGGACGTTGAGGACTTGGACGTGGACGTGGTCGTCCACGTGGACGTGGACGTGGATGTGGTTGTGGTCGTGGTCGTGGATGTGGACGTGGACGTGGACGTGGATGTGGACGTGGTCCTGGACGTGGTCGTGGACGTGGTCGTGTACGTGGTCGTCCACGACGTGGACCTGGACGTGGTCGTGGACGTGGACGTGGACGTGGACGTGGTGGACGTGGACGTGGCCGTGGACGTGGACATGGACGTGGACGTGGTCGTGGACGTGGACGTGGACGTGGACGTGGTCGTGGGCGTGGACGTGGACGTGGACGTTGTGGACGTGGACGTGGACATGGAGGACGTGGACGTGGACGTGGACGTGGACGTGGAGGTGGACGTGGACGTGGACGTGGTCGTGGACGTGGAGGACTTGGACGTGGACGTGGATGTGGTCGTCGACGTGGACGTGGTCGTGGAGTGGTCGTGGACTTGGACGTGGACGTGGACGTGGTCGTTGACGTGGACGTGGACGTGGACGGGGACGCGGACGGGGACGGGGACGTGGACGTGGACGTGGTCGTGGATGTGGACGTGGTCGGGGACGTGGACGTAGAGGTGGACGTGGTCGTGGACGTGGACGTGGACGTGGACGTCGTGGACGTGGACGTGGACGTGGTCGTGGACGTGGACGTGGACTTGGACGTGGACTTGGACGTGGACGTGGACGTGGTCGTGGACGTGGTGGACGTGGACGTGGCCGTGGACGTGGACGTGGACGTGGACGTGGTGGACGTGGACGTGGCTGTGGAGGACGTGGACGTGGACGTGGACGTGGACGTGGTCGTGGACGTGGTCGTGGACGTGGACGTGGAGATGGAGGTAGACGTGGTCGTGGACGTGGACGTGGTCGTGGACGTGGATGTGGACGTGGACGTGGAGGTGGTCATGGAAGTGGACGTGGTCGTGGACGTGGAGGACTTGGACGTGGACATGGTCGTCCACGTGGACGTGGACGTGGTTGCGGTCGTGGTCGTGGATGTGGACGAGGACGTCGACGTGGACGTGGACGTGGTCGTGGACGTGGTCCTGGACGTGGTCGTCCACGACGTGGACTTGGACGTGGACGTGGACGTGGTCGTCCACGACGTGGACCTGGACGTGGACGTGGACGTGGACCTGGACATGGACGTGGACGTGAACGCGGACGTGGACGTGGTCGGGGACGTGGACGTGGACGTGGACACGGACGTGGACGTCGTCGGGGACGTGGACGTGGACGTTGACGCGGTCGTGGACGTGGTCGTGGACGTGGACGTGGATGTGGACGTGGACGTGGACGTGGACGCGGACGTGGACGCGTTCGTGGACGTGGTCGTGGACGTGGTCGTGGACGTGGACGTGGACGTGGTCGTGGACGTGGTCGTGGACATGGTCCTGGATGTGGACGTGGACGCGGTCGTGGACGTGGACGTGGACGTGGACGTGGTGGACGTGGACGTGGACGTGGACGTGGACATGGTCGTGGACGTGGTCGTGGACGTGGATGTGGAGATGGACGTGGACGTGGTCGTTGACGTGGACGTGGTCGTGGTCGTGGACGTGGACGTGGACGTGGAGGTGGTCGTGGACGTGGAGGACTTGGACGTGGACGTGGTCGTCCACGTGGACGTGGACGTGGACGTGGTTGTGGTCGTGGTCGTGGATGTGGACGTGGACGTCGACGTTGACGTGGACGTGGACGTGGTCCTGGACGTGGACGTGGACGTGGTGGACGTGGACGTGGCCGTGGACGTGGACGTGGACGTGGTCGTGGACGTGGTCATGGACGTGGACGTGGAGATGGATGTGGACGTGGTCGTGGACGTGGACGTGGACGTGAACGTGGTCGTGGTCGTGGACGTGGACGTGGACGTGGAGGTGGTCGTGGACGTGGACGTGGTCGTGGGCGTGGAGGACGTGGACGTGGACGTGGTCGTCCACGTGGACGTGGACGTGGACGTGGTTGTGGTCGTGGTCGTGGATGTGCACGTGGACGTGGACGTCGACGTGGACGTGGACGTGGTCCTGGACGTGGACGTGGACGTGGTCGTGGACGTTGTCACGTCCACGACGTGGACTTGGACGTGGACGTGGACGTGGACGTGGTCGTCTACGACGTGGACCTGGACGTGGTCGTAGACGTGGACGTGGACGTGGACGTGGTCGTGGACGTGGACGTGGTCGTGGACGTGGTCGTGGACGTGGACGTGGACGTGGACGTCGTGGACGTGGACGTGGACGTGGAGGACGTGGACGTGGACGTGGTCGTGGACGTGGTCGTGGACGTGGACGTGGACGTGGACGTGGACGTGGACATGGACGTGGAGGACTTTGATGTGGACGTGGAGGACGTTGACGTGGACGTGGACGTGGACGTGGTCGTAGACGTGGACGTGGTCGTGGAGTGGACGTGGACTTGGACGTGGACGTGGACGTGGACGTGGTCGTGGACGTGGAGGACTTGGACGTAGACGTGGACGTGGACGTGGACGTGGACGTGGTCATGGACGTGGACGTGGTCGTGGAGTGGACGTGGACTTGGACGTGGACGTGGACGTGGACTTGGATTGTGGCAAGTACGATCGGGCTGGGCGGTCCCGGATCCGAGTAACATTGCTTCGCATTTTATACCGGTGTGGAATTCGCAGCTTCCCGGGCTCACAAACGCCCCTATGGGGGGGACGGTTCTTTATGCGGTGGGCCTGTTTGAAGGCAAAAAGAGTTGGAATCTCGTCCCAAGGTATCTAGGATTGTGGCAAACACGATCGTGCTGGGTGGTCCCGCATCCGAATAACATTGCTTCGCATTTTATACCGGTACGTAAATGCAGCTTCCCGAGCTCACAAACATCCCGATAGGGGGACGGTTCTTTATGCGGCGGGCCCGTTTGAAGGCAAAAAGAGTTGGAATCTCGTCCCAAGGTATCTAGGATTGTGGCAAACACGATCGTGCTGGGCGGTCCTGGATCCGAGAGACATTGCTTCGCATTTTATACCGGTACAGATTTCACAGCTTCCCGGGCTCACAAACGCCCCTATAGGGGGACGGTTCTTTATGCGACGGGCCCGTTTGAAGGCAAAAATAGTTGGAATCTCGTCCCAAGGTATCTAGGATTGTGGCAAACACGATCGTGCTGGGCGGGTCCCGGATCCGAGTAACATTGCTTCGCATTTTATACCGGTACGTATTTCACAGCTTCCCAGGCTCACAAACGCCCCTATAGGGGGACGGTTCTTTATGCGGCGGGCCCGTTTGAAGGCAAAAAGAGTTGGAATCTCGTCCCAATGTATCTAGGATTGTGGCAAATACGATCGTGCTGGGCGGTCCCGGATCCGAGTAACATTGCTTCGCATTTTATACCGGTACGGATTTCGCAGCTTCGCGGGCTTACAAACGCCCTTATAGGGGGACGGTTCTTCATGCGACGGGCCCGTTTGAAGACAAAAAGAGCTGGAATCTTGTCTAAAAGTATTTAGGATTGTGGCAAACACGATCGGGCTGGGCGGTCCCGGATCCGAGTAACATTGCTTCACATTTTATACCGGTACGGATTTCGCAGCTTCCCAGGCTCACAAACGCCCCTATAGGGGGACGGTTCTTTATGCGGCAAGCCCGTTTGAAGGCAAAAAGAGCTGGAATCTCGTCCCAAGGTATCTAGGATTGTGGCAAATACGATCGGGTTGGGCGGTCCCGGATCCGAGTAATATTGCTTCGCATTTTATACCGACGACGTGCAGCAGTTTGTGCCATGCCCTCTTGCATGGCTGGTGCGGTGGACGACGTGCTGTGTGTTGGGTGCACGTCAACGAGCTAGTCTCCGAGGAGTACTGCCGTGTGGGCTGGGGGCCCAAGCGTGAACGCGGCAGGGGAGTGTCAACGGGAGTTGTGTGTTGGCCCCGTCCTCGCTTGGGCGGATCCAACATCGTGGTCGGGTGTGAGGGGAGCAGCCGACCTGCAGCAGTGGGCGAGCTGGTCGACGAGGAGGTCGACCTGCACGGGGACCACTGCACGGGCGCCGACTTTAGGGTGGCGCTGACTTCGGGGAGGTCGACTGGGGAGTCGACCTGCGGAGGACGTCAACTTGGTGACGTCAACTTGGGGAAGCCGACTTCGGTGGTCGGCTGATGGACTGCTAGTCGACCTGCGGGTGGTCGACTGGACCTGGTGGTCGACAAAGGAGGGGCCGACGTCGACCTCGACTCAGGACGCTGAGCAGTTGGGCGTCGAGTAGCGGGGCGTCAACTTCGTGACGCCAACTTTGGGTGGCCGACGTGGGTGGTTGGCCGACGACTGTACCGGTCGACGTGGAGCTGGTCGACCAGAAGGGACGTCGACCTAGAGGAGGTCGACTGATGGAGGTGGTCGTCAACTTGGGAGGTCGACGGGCACGTACGGGAGCTGCTGGTCGACGTGGTTGCTCGGTCGACCAGGTTACCTGGGTAACAAAGTGCTGCGGAGGAGTGCGACGGTCACCCAGGCGAAGTTGGCGAGCCTGACCTCGGTGTTGGTATCCCGAGGTTGACGTGGCCGATCAGAAGCAGTCGTCAGCGCGAGATTGATGTGGTGTGTGCGCTGTGCAGGTGACGAGACTCTGCACGCCAATCATCTGCGCGCACCTGCGAAGCGGGTGCACTGCTGTCCTTGGTGAGCAACGCTGGCACGCCGTCAACCTGCGACGTTGGCACGCCGTTGACCTTGCCTTGCTGGAGCGCGGTCGACCAAGTCGTGCTGGAATGCGGTCGACCAAGCTGCGCTGGCAGTTGGCCGACCTGAATGCTTGCTCTGATGTAGTCTTGCTATGCCAACTTTATTGTACCATTGTTCTGAACTTTTCCTAGTGGAACTCTTGCAAACTTTCCCCGTGAACTAGCAAGTAGTGTGCGCACAAGGAAAACGACTAAGGACTAATGAACGCAGAGATCACACGAGCACCCGTGCCTAGCCCGTTGTCTAGCTCCCATTGTAGTAGTTATCTCCGCACGCCTATCTCTAGGGGCGCCTATCTCTATGGGCGCCTATCTCTATGGGCGCCTATCTCTAGGGGCGCCTATCTCTAGGGGCGCCTATCTCTAGGGGCACCTATCGCTAGGGGCGCCTATCTCTATGGGCACCTCTCTCTAGGGGCGCCTATCTCTATGTGCGCCTATCTCTAGGGGCGCCTATCTCTATGGGCGCCTATCTCTAGGGGCGCCTATCTCTAGGGGCGCCTATCTCTATGGGCGCCTATCTCTAGGGGCGCCTATCTCTATGGGCGCCTATCTCTATGGGCGCCTATCTCTAGGGGACCAGGCCCATACGTTTGCACTTGGTCCGGGGACCAGGCCCATTTGTTTCCTATTGGTCCGAGGACCAGGCCCATATGTTTGTACTTGGTCCGAGGACCAGGCCCATACGCTTGTACTTGGTCCGGGGACCAGCCCATATGTTTGCACTTGGTCCGAGGACCAGGCCCATACGTTTGCACTTGGTCCAAGGACCAGGCCCATACATTTGCACTTGGTCCGAGGACCAGGCCCATACGTTTGCACTTGGTCCGAGGACCAGGCCCATACGTTTGCACCTGGTCCGAGGACCAGGCCCATACGTTCGTTTCTTGGTCCGAAGACCAGGCCCATACGTTTGTACTTGGTCCGAGGACCAGGCCCGTACGTTTGTACTTGGTCCAAGGACCAGGCCCATACGTTTGTACTTGGTCCAAGGACCAGGCCCATACGTTTGTACTTGGTCCGAGGACCAGGCCCATACGTTTGCACTTGGTCCGAGCACCAGGCACATACGTTTGCACTTGGTCCGAGGACCAGGCCCATACGTTAGTACTTGGTCCTAGGACCAGGCCCATAAGTTTGTACTTGGTCCGAGGACCAGGCCCATACATTTGCAAATGGTCCAAGGACCAGGCCCATACGTTTGCACTTGGTCCAAGGACCAGGCCCATACATTTGCACTTGGTCCGAGGACCAGGCCCATACCTTTGCACTTGGTCCGAGGACCAGGCCCATACGTTTAGACTTGGTCCGAGGACCAGGCCCATACGTTTGTACTTGGTCCGAGGACCAGGCCCATACGTTTAGACTTGGTCCAAGGACCAGGCCTATACGTTTCAACTTGGTCCGAGGACCAGGCCCATACATTTGTACTTGGTCCGAGGACCAGGCCCATACGTTTAGACTTGGTCCGAGGACCAGGCCCATACGTTTAGACTTGGTCCGAGGTCCAGGCCCATACGTTTGCACTTGGTCCGGAACCAGGCCCATACGTTCGCACTTGGTCCGAGGACCAGGCCCATACGTTTAGACTTGGTCCGAGGACCAGGCCCATACGTTAAGACTTGGTCTGAGGTCCAGGCCCATACGTTTGCACTTGGTCTGAGGACCAGGCCCATACGTTTGCACCTGGTCCGAGGACCAGGCCCATACGTTTGCACTTGGTCCAAGGACAAGGCTCATACATTTGCACTTGGTCTGAGGACCAAGCCCATACGTTTGCACTTGGTCCGAGGACCAAGCCCATACGTTTGCACTTTCCATCACCCAACCCCATTCTCCCTCCTTCTATCTCCCCGCCCCATTCTCCCGTTTTCCATCACCCCGCCCCATTCTCCCGCTTTCCATCACCCCCGCCCCATTCTCCCGCTTTCCATCACCCCGCCCCATTCTCCCGCTTTCCATCACCCTGCCCCATTCTCCCTCTTTCCATCACCCCGCCCCATTCTCCCTCTTTCCATCACCGCGCCACATTCTCCCTCTTTCCATAACCCCGCCCCATTCTCCCGCTTTCCATCACCCCGCCCCATTCTCCCGCTTTCCATCACCCCGCCCCATTCTCACGCTTTCCATATTCCCGCCCCATTCTTCCGCTTTCCATCACCCCGCCCCATTCTCCCTCTTTCTATCACCCCGCCCCATTCTCCCGCTAGCCATCACCCCGCCCCATCTCCCGCTTTCCATCACCCCGCCCCATTCTCCCGCTTTCCATCACCCTGCCCCATTCTCCCGCTTTCCATCACCCCACGCAGTTCTCCCGCTTTCCATCACCCCGCCCCATTCTCCCGCGTTCCATCACCCCGCCCCATTCTCCCGCTTTCCATCACCCCGTCCCATTCTCCCGCTTTCCATCTGTCCGCCCCATTCTCCCGCTTTCTAGCACCCCGCCCCATTCTCCCGCTTTCTATCACCCCGCCCAGTTCTCCCGCTTTCCATCACCCCGTCCGATTCACCCGCTTTCCATCACCCCGCCCCATTCTCCCGCTTTCCATATTCCCGCCCCATTCTTCCGCTTTCCATCACCCCGCCCCGTTCTCCCTCTTTCTATCACCCCGCCCCATTCTCCCGCTAGCCATCACCCCGCCCCATTCTCCCGCTTTCCATCACCCCGCCCCATTCTCCCGCTTTCCATCACCGCGCCCTGTTCTCCCCGCTTTCCATCACCCCGCCCCATTCTCCCTCTTTCCATCAACCTGCCCATTCTCCCTCTTTCCATCACCGCGCCCCATTCTCCCTCTTTCCATAACCCCGCCCCATTCTCCCGCTTTCCATCACCCCGCCCCATTCTCCCGCTTTCCATCACCCCGTCCCATTCTCCCGCTTTCCATCTGCCCGCCCCATTCTCCCGCTTTCTAGCACCCCGCCCCATTCTCCCGCTTTCTATCACCCCGCCCCATTCTCCCGCTTTCCAGCACCCCGCCCCGTTCTCCCGCTTTCCATCACCCCGCCCTATTCTCCCGCTTTCGACCACCCCGCCCCATTCTCCCGCTTTCTGTCATCCTCCCCATTCTCCTGCTTTCCATCAACCCACCCCATTCTCCCTCTTTCCATCACCCCGCCCCATTCTCCCGCTTTCCATCACCCGCCCCATTCTCCCGCTTTCCATCACCCCGCCCTTTTCTCCCGCTTTCCATCACCCGCCCCATTCTCCCGCTTTCCATCACCCCGCCCCATTCTCCCGCTTTCCATCACCTCGCCCCATTCTCCCGCTTTCCATCACCCCGCCCCATTCTCCCGCTTTCCAGCACCCCGCCCCATTCTCCCGCATTCCATCACCCCGCCCGATTCTCCTGCTTTCCATCAAACCTCACAATTCTTCCGCTTTCCATCATCCCGCCCCATTCTCCCTCTTTCTATCACCCTGCCCCATTCTCCCACTTGCCATCACCCCGCCCCATTCTCCCGCTTTCCATCACCCCGCCCCATTCTCCCTCTTTCCATCACCCCGCCCCATTCTCCCTCTTTCCATAACCCCGCCCCCATTCTCCCGCTTTCCATCACCCCCGCCCCATTCTCCCGCTTTCCATCACCTCGCCCCATTCTCCCGCTTTCCATCACCCCGCCCCATTCTCCCTGTTTCCATCACCCCGCCCCATTCTCCCTCTTTCCATCACCGCGCCCCTTTCTCCCTCTTTCCATAACGCCGCCCCATTCTCCCGCTTTCCATCACCCCGCCCCATTCCCCCGCTTTTCATCTGCCCGCCCCATTCTCTCGCTTTCTAGCACCCCGCCCCATTCTCCCGCTTTCTATCACCCCACCCCATTCTCCCGCTTTCTATCACCCCGCCCCGTTCTCCCGCTTTCCATCACCCCGCCCGATTCACCCGCTTTCCATCACCCCGCCCCATTCTCCCGCTTTCCATATTCCTGCCCCATTCTTCTGCTTTCCATCACCCCGCCCCATTCTCCCTCTTTCTATCACCCCGCCCCATTCTCCCGCTTGCCATCACCCCGCCCCATTCTCCCGCTTTCTATCACCCCGCCCCATTCTCCACCCCGGCAGCAGATCACTCACACCCGCCACCCCCATACCCTCCCCCCCACTGCTGCACGCGCAGCAGGGGGATGGAGGAGAAGGGGGGGCGGGGTAGGAGCTGCGCGGGCTACAGCATGGGCAGGGTAGGTGCGCGCACACCTGGCGCAGGCTATACGGGCCGCGCGCGGCCCTGGCGCAGGCTGTACGGGCCGCGCGCGGCCCTGGCACGGGCTGCACAGGCAGCGCGTGGGTCGTACGGGCCGCGCGCGGCAGGGCAGAAGCCGTTGCGCAAAATCGCCGCACGCCCGAGGCGCGCGACGAGCAGAAAATCGACGCGCGCTCGGGGCGCGCGGCGGGCAGAAAAACTGACGCACGCCCTGGGCGTGCGACAGGCAGCAGAGAGGCCCATGAGCGGAAGCGTGGTGGTGGGCCCTATGAGACTGGTCCTAGGAGAAACTTTGCTTTGATACCATGTCAAAATAGGTAGTTAACTAGTAGAAGGCATTAGGGTTTGCACTAGAGAGGAGAGTATCGAGATAGTTGTCAAGGCAAAAAGATGGTTTCACTATAGGCTCAAGGGTACAAATATGAAAGAAGAGAAGAAAGGTGCACCACCTAACAAGCAAGATAACTACACTAAGTCTACATTGCAGGCAGTTATAAAGTAATGTATGTCAGAACATATCTATAGCTTATACTATTGTGTAGGCTGTAGTGGGGTATCCCATAGGGGGTACAACCCAGTTAGGGTTTCATATTTGTACTGCCTTCATTCATAGTTCATTCATTCCTGTTTTCTTTACTTCACATGGTATAGAGCGGGTCCTACCTTAGGACCGTTTTTTTAGGGCCCACCGAAGCGCGCCCCGAGGCGCGCCTTTTTTTTAGCGACCCCCTCGGGTCGCCTTTTCCCTCGCGGCCCCGCTGTCCCTCAGACGCGGCCCCGCCACCTCTCCTGATCGCGGCCCCGCCGCCTGTTTGACGCGGCCTCGCCGCCTACCCTGACGCGGCTCCGCCGCCTCCCCTGACGCGGCCTCGCCGCCTCCCCTGACGCGGCTCAGCCGCCTCTCCTGACGCGGCCCCGCCGCCTGTCTGACGCGGCCCCGCCGCCTCCCCTGACGCGGCCTTGCCGCCTCCCCTGACGCGGCTCCCCCGCCTCCCCTGACGCGGCACCGCCGCCTCCCCTGACGCGGCTCCCCCGCCTCCCCTGACGCGGCCCTGCCGCCTCCCCTGACGCGGCCCTGCCGCCTCTCCTGCCGGCCCGCCACTGCACCTGCCGGCCTGCCGCTGCACCTGCCGGCCCGCCACTGCACCCTACGGCCCGCCGCTGCACCTGCCGGCCCGCCACTGCACCTGCCGGCCTCGCCGCTGCACCTGCCGGCCTCGCTGCTGCACCTGCCGGCCCGCCGCTGCACCCTACGGCCCGCCACTGCACCCTATGGCCCGTCGCTGCACCTGCCGGCCCGCCACTGCACCTGCCGGCCCGCCTCTGCACCTGCCGGCCCGCCACTGCACCGGTCAACCCGCCGCTGCACCTGACGGCCCCACCCCTGCATCTCCTGGCCGAGCCGCCTCAGCAGCCAAACCGCCCGTGAGCCGAGCCGCCCGACGCCGAGCCGCCCGGGACCCGAGCCGCCCTGCCGCCGAGCCGCCCGGGAGCCGAGCCGCCCGGGAGCCGAGCCGCCCTGCACCCGAGCCGCCCAGCCGCCGAGCAGCCCGGGAGCCGAGCCGCCCTGCGCCCGAGCCGCCCAGCAGCCGAGCCGCCCAGCACCCGAGCCGCCTTTCTGCATACCTACACGACCTGCCCTGCCTGGTGAGCACAGTCCCACTGACATTGCGAGCTCTTTCCCTGCTGCTAGCACTGCGTCGCTGTCGTCGCCATGGCTACCCCTAGTGTCCTAGCTTTTGACGCTGAGGGTCGCGCCATTGATTTTGAGGTCTGGTTAGACGACCTGCAGCTGTTCTTACAGTGCGACAGGGCTGACGACCTTTCTCTCTTTGATCTCACCTCTGGCGCCTCTCCTGCTCCTGCTGCTGATGCTGATCCCGCTGTCCGCTCTAAGTGGGCCACCCGCGATGCTGCTGCACGTCTTGCTGTGCGTCGCCACCTCCCTACCTCTGAGCTGTGCGCACTTCAGTCAGTACAAGAGTGCTCAGACCTTGTACGACGCTCTAGTTGCGCGCTACTCCTCCCCTGCCACTGCTGCACTGAGCCGTCTCATGCTTCCCTACCTCTTTCCTGACCTCTCTGCCTTTCCCACTGTCGCTGACCTCATTACGCACCTCCGCACTAGTGACACTCGCTACCGCGCCGCCCTTCCTGCTGAGTTCTGCGCTAAGAACCCCCCCCCCATGTACATCGCTCTCTACTACGTAGTCGCGCGCCTCCCTGACTCCCTTCGCGTCGTCAGGGACCACTTTCTCGCAGTCTGTCCCACCACCCTCACCGTCGACCTCCTCGAGAAGGCCCTCCTCGCAGCGGAGAAGAGCATAGTCGCTGTAGGTGCTTCTCGTGGTGACCCTCGCACCCCCATCTTTGAGGGGTGCTCTCCTTCCCCCTTGCTGCCCTCTGTTGCCTCTGCTGCTGCTGCCGACCTGCTTGGTCTAGAGTCGGTCGGCGCGGCGTCTGCCCCTAGTGGGAGACGTCGCTCCAGCAAGGGCAAGGGGGGCAAGGGCGCGGGTGGAGCTGGAGGGGGCGGTGGCGGTGGCGGCGGTGGCGGCGGAGGGAGTGGGGGTGGCGGCGGGACTAGTAGCGGGGGTGGTGGTGGTGGTGGCAGCAGCGGCGGAGACGGTGGTGGTGGTGCCAGCGGTGGTGGTGGAGGCAGCGGCGGAGGTGGAGGCGGCGGAGGTGGAGGCGGTGGAGGCGGCAGCGGAGGAGGCAGTGGTGGTGTAGGGGGTGGATCTGGTCGGGGTGGTACCCAGCAGCGTAGCGGCGGTGGTGGTGGCCAGCGCTCGCAGCGGCAGCAGCAGCAGCGCTCTCGGGACATCCCTTCGCCTCAGCAGCTTCGTGAGTGGTACGCTGGGCGTCAGAGGGGTGGGGGTACTGGTCCCTGCACCTACGTTCTTCGTTCCGGCGACCGCGCGGGTGAGCAGTGTGGGGGTGCCCACGCCACCCAGCGCTGCTTTGGCCGCCTGACGGACGCCTGGCGTCAGCAGTTCCCTGGGGCTAGTGAGATCCCTCGCTGGGATGAGCTTCTCAGGGCTGGTGTAGCGATCTTTGATCTTGATTTTGATGCTATCCTTACTGCTATGTATGTTGTGGATTATAGTGAGGAGAATGAGGGTTACCGCTGTTTCCAGCCCGACCCGGGCATTGGTCCTGCTGCGCTAGGTGCTTGTGAGGCTGCTGCTCTAGGTGCCAGTGCGTCTGCGCTCTCAGGTACTGGTGAGACTGCGCTCTCAGGTACTGAGTCGTCCTCGTCCTCCCTCACTTTCACACTTGACTCCGGAGCTTCTCGCTCCTTCTTTCGAGACCGCACTACCCTTACGCCGCTTGGCCGGCCGGTTGCGGTCTCCCTTGCTGACCCCTCTGGGGGTCCTGTCCTGTCTCACTTCTCCACTGTCCTCCCGTGTCCGGCTGCCCCTTCGGGCACCCTGTCGGGTCTGTACCTTCCCTCGTTCTCTACGAACTTGGTGAGTGGAGCAGACCTGCAGGATGGGGGTGTTCACCAGTTCACTCCTGCGAGTCAGCGGGTGACCCACTGCACGGAGGCACGCACAGGCCGACACCTGGCCACGTTCTCGCGTCGGCCGGGGTCGAGTCTCTACACCCTGACCGTTGAGTCTCCTCCTGTCCCTGCGTCTGGTCAGGTGGCTGCGTCGGGTCAGGTACTTGCTGCTGCGTCCCGGTCAGGTCCTGAGTCTGCCCCCTGTTCTTGTCGCCTCCTGTCTCACGAGACTCTCCTGTGGCACCACCGTCTTGGCCACCCCTCCTTGCCCCGTCTTCGGAGCATGGCTTCCCGTGTCCTTGTCTCTGGTCTTCCCCAGTCTCTCCCTCCTCTCCCCTCCGGGCCAGGACCTTCCTGTGTCCCCTGTGTCGAGGGTCGCCTCCGGGCTACTCCTCACTCCTCCCACTTCCCCCCGACAGAGGCTCCCCTGCAGACGCTTCACATGGATGTGTGGGGCCCAGCCCCCGTCCGTGGGCAGGGTTACGAGCGCTACTTCCTGTTGGTGGTTGACGACTACTCGCGTTACACCACAGTCCTCCCCTTGCGCAGCAAGGGTGCGGTCACTGAGGTGCTGATCGACTGGATCCGCGAGGCTCGTCTCCAGCTCAGGAAGAGCTTCGGCTCGGACTTTCCTGTTCTGCGTCTGCACTCTGACCGAGGCGGAGAGTTCTCTTCTCGCCTTCTGCGAGACTACTGTCGTGCACGGGGGATCCGCCAGACCTTCACGCTTCCGGACTCACCGCAGCAAAATGGGATTGCTGAGCGCCGCATTGGCATGGTCATGGATGTCGCTCGTACGTCCATGATGCATGCGGCTGCCCCCCATTTTCTGTGGCCGTTTGCGGTGAGGTACGCGGCGCATCAGCTCAACCTTCACCCCCGGGTCTCTCGGCCTGCGATGTCCCCAGCCTTGCTGTGGACGGGGAAGGTTGGCGATGCGTCTGTGTTCCGTGTCTGGGGATCTCGGGCGTTTGTCCGCGACTTGTCTGCGGACAAGCTGTCCCCTTGCGCTGCTCCCTGTGTCTTCCTTGGCTTCCCCACTGACGCCCCAGGGTGGCAGTTTTACCACCCCTCCTCTCGTCGTGTTCTGTCCTCCCAGGACGTCACGTTCGACGAGTCAGTCCCCTTCTACCGTCTCTTCCCCTACCGCACTCCTTCCCTCCCCCCTCCCCCGGACTTCCTTGTGCCGGTTCCCCCCCGGTAGACCCCCTCCCCCCTCAGGTTCCTGCCCCCTCAGGTGTGTCCCAGGTAGACGCCGTTGACCCGGTCGAGGTTACTGGTGACTCTGGTGCTGCTGCGGGTGCTGTGCGCGGGGGTGCTGAGCCTGGGGGTGCTACTGCTGGGGGTGCTGGGCCTGAGGGTGCTAATGCGGAGGGTGCGGAGCCTGGGGGTGCTGAGCCGGGGGGTGCTGTGCCTGGAGGTGCTGGGTCTGGGGGTGCTGGGTCGGGAGCTGCTGAGCCTGGGGGTGCTGAGCTGGGAGCTGCTGCGCCTGGGGGTGCTGCGTCTGGAGCTGCTGAGCCTGGGGTTTCTCCTGCTGCTGCGTCTCGCCGGGAGCCCCTCTCTCCACAGGAGCTGCGCGAGTGGTTCGGTCGCCGCTGGAGGCGTGCTGCTGAGTCTGGAGGTGCTGCTGGAGCTGGGGCTGGAGCTTCTTCGACCGTCGAGGGTGCGGGTGCTGCCGGTCCCGGAGCTGCTGGACCTGCGGGTCCTCCTGGAGCTGGAGCTGCTGAGGGCGTTGGTGCTGAGCCTACTGCTGTTGGTCCTGCCGCTGGAGGTGTGGGTGGCGCTGGTGCTGTCGCTGAGGGTGCTGATGCTGTCCCTGCTGAGTCTGGAGCTGCCGCGCGGCCTCGGCCGTACTTCGTTCCGCTCCTGCAGCAGGTTCTTGGTCTTTCTCCTCCAGTAGAGGGTCCACCGCCTGTCCAGTCGCAGTCCCTGCTGGAGCCTTCCTCTCCACTGCCTGCTCCCTCTCCTTACAATGGTCCTACTGGAGGTCTTGCTGAGCGTCGTGAGCCTGCGTCTCGTCCCGCGTCGCCTGTTCGTGCTGCTCGCGCTAGTGGTCGCAGTTCGCGTCAGCGTCCTCCTCCTGTCCCTGGCACGCACCGGATGTCTTTACGTCCGTCCACTGCTCCTCTGCGTGCCCCTTTGCCTTCTCCTCCTGAGTCCTCTCTTCCTGCGCTTGCCGACCCTGAGTCGGACTCTCTTCGTGCTGCCAGTCCTACTGTCACGCGTCTGCTTGCTACTGTCGTCACTGACCCCTCTTTTGAGTCCACTGCTGCGTCTGCTCTAGTCGCTGAGCTCGTCGAATTTGCTGCTCGCTGTCGTCTCGACTACGCTGCTAGTCTTGTTGCTGAGTCTGCGTCTGTCTGTCCTCCGTCCGTCGGGGGTGAGTGTGCTCTTGGCACGGACGTCCTAGAGGACAGGCAGGAGGAGTTACAGTGTCTAGCGGCTGCTTCACCTCATCTCGCGTCTGTACTGCTTACCCCTGAGGGAGACCCGGATGCACTAGACATCCCGACTCCGCGTTCTTACGCGGAGGCCGTAGAGGGTCCCTACTCCTCTCAGTGGCAGGCAGCTATGGATGCAGAGATGGCTTCCTGGAAGTCCACAGGCACCTACGTTGACGCGGTTCCCCCTCCTGGGGCGAACATCGTCAGTGGCATGTGGATCTTCAGGGTGAAGCGGCCGCCGGGCTCTCCACCTGTCTTCAAGGCACGGTACGTTGCTCGTGGCTTCAGTCAGCGGCAGGGAGTTGACTACTTTCAGACCTTCTCTCCCACCCCGAAGATGACTACTCTTCGGGTGCTGCTGCACATAGCCGCTCAGCGCGACTACGAGCTTCACTCTCTCGACTTCAGCACTGCGTTCTTGCAGGGTAGCCTGCACGAGGAGATCTGGCTTCGCCGTCCACCTGGCTTCACTGGGACTTTCCCTCCTGGCACCCAGTGGAGCCTCCGACGGCCAGTCTACGGTCTCCGCCAGGCACCGCGTGAGTGGCACGACACACTGAGGACTACGCTTGCGGCTCTTGGGTTTGCTCCTTCTACTGCTGACCCGTCGCTGTTTCTTCGCACCGACACTTCCCTGCCGCCGTTCTACATCCTCGTGTACGTCGACGACTTGGTCTTTGCCACAGCGGACACTGCTGGACTCGCCTACGTGAAGTCCGAGCTGCTGAAGAGACACACGTGCACAGACCTGGGTGAACTGCGCAGCTACCTTGGCTTGCAGATCACTCGGGACAGAGCACGCCGCACCATTACCTTGACTCAGTCACACATGGTGCAGCAGGTCCTTCAGCGCTTCGGCTTCACGTACTCCTCGCCTCAGGCCACTCCTCTGCCTACTCGCCACTCACTCTCAGCTCTGCCTTCGGATGAGTCCGTAGAGTCGAGTGGTCCGTGTGCAGAGCTTGTTGGCTGCCTCATGTACCTGATGACCTGCACACGACCTGACCTTGCATACCCTCTGAGCATTCTTGCACGCTATGTTGCTCCTGGGAGACACAGACCGGAGCACATGGCTGCAGCGAAGAGGGTATTGCGCTACCTGTGCAGTACGTCGGGCATGGGGCTAGTGCTTGGAGGGCGGAGTCCAGTGGTCCTTACCGGCCACGCGGACGCTTCTTGGGCTGACGACCAGGCTACGCAGCGGTCGTCACAGGGTTACACCTTCAGTCTTGGTTCCGGCTCTGTCTCGTGGCGGTCTACTCGCTCGTCTTCGGTTCTCGGCTCCAGTTGTGAGGCTGAGATCTACGCCGGGGCCATGGCTGCACAGGAGCTTCGCTGGCTCACCTACCTGCTGACTGACCTTGGAGAGCCGCCTCGTTCTCCTCCAGTGCTGTACGTAGACAACAAGGCCATGCTGGCCTTGTGTCGAGAGCAGCGCTTGGAGCACAGAACGAAGCACATTGCTCTCCGCTACTTCCTTGCTCGTGAGCTGCAGCAGCGTGGTCAGTTGCGACTTGCGTACGTGGCCTCTGAGGCCAACACTGCTGATGTGTTCACCAAGGCGCTCGCGCCTTGTGACCATCAGCGCTTTTGCACCCAGCTGGGTCTTGTGCCTGTCTTGCCTCACTTGCTCTCCTCTTGACTTTACTTGTACTGTCACATATATATACCTGCTCTTGCTTGTCTAGTTTTTTATATATATGTCTGTACTCCTGCATATGAATTGGCCTCTGGCCCTGCTCTCGTGCTCGGACTGTGTGGTGACTTTGTGATCCACCCTGAGCTTTGATTTGTCTTGCTTGACTGGTCTTCTGACCCCTTGTTCTCCCCCACTTTGCCTATGGGGGTGTGTCAGAACATATCTATAGCTTATACTATTGTGTAGGCTGTAGTGGGGTATCCCATAGGGGGTACAACCCAGTTAGGGTTTCATATTTGTACAGCCTTTATTCATAGTTCATTCATTCCTGTTTTCTTTACTTCACAATGTATACAATTACATTCTGACACTTCCTGCACATGTGCAGATCCTTCCGCATTTTGAGGCTAGAAGCGCTCGTTCAAAGCGTTTTTCTTCTTCTGGGTCACCTGGCTGTACTTATCTTGGCCTATTACCAAGCCAGCAAGGGCATGGGTGGGTTGCAAGCATCATCGATCATCGGCGCTCGCGAATGAAGAGCGCTCGCTGCAATTCCTGCGCATGTGCGAATCCTTCCGCGTTTTGAGGCTGGAAGCGCTCGTTCAAAGCGTTTTTCTTCTACCAGGTCACCTGGGCTTGGAAGGGGGGTGCTCGGTGTGCTATCAAACTGAGTGACGTTTGCTGCATCCTCATCTTCCGCCAGGTCAGCTTCATCGTGTGGAGTTGCGAAGCTGCGATGTCCCTCAAAAACCCTTTCCGGTGCCTTGTCAGCTTTGCGGTGTTCGTTAAACAGTGGCAGAGTCAGCTTCTCATAGAAGATGCAGTCACGTGATTTCGTCACTTCATGTGTCGCGTAGTCCAGCATGATCCACGCCTTATATTCCTTTTTTATCCCGAGGTGGATGCCCCAGCGAGCTCGTTCAGTAAATTTTCCGGTCCATGCTGTATGTGGCCTGTACTGTACCATGCAGCCGAAAACCCGAAGCAGGCGCGTGTTTGCTTTTCTGCCTGTCCACCGCTCTGTATGGGGAGTTGTTCTCGAGGCTTCGGGAGGACAGCAAGTTGTGCAGTCGGACTGCACGGTTCATGGCGAACGGCCAGTACTGTGTTGGGATGGCCGACTGCTTCATCAGAGCCCTCATCCTAGTCGCGAGGCTCCTGTCTGTCCGTTCTGCTACTCCTTGCTGCTCGTGAGCGTAGGGCAGGAACACCAGGTGTTCAATCCCTTTCCTCCGAAAGAGCTCCTTGAAATCGTCTGAGAAGAACTCCAGAGCTCCGTCCGTTTGCCAGCTTTTCAGCTTAAGTCCCGATTGTCATTCGGCTCGCTTCATCCACGCGATGAAGCACTCGAAGGCGAGTGACCTGCAGCCGGTGTTGATGGCCCAGACGTAGCAAGTACTCGCGTCGATGAAGGTCAGCGTGTAATATTCGTCATCAAGACCTTCCCGAGCCAGGCACATAAAGTCGTTGTAGACCTTATCGAGCGGTTGATAGCGTTCGTAACCGGGCGGTAAGTCGGGGAAGGGTTTGTGAGCAAGCGACGCAGTAGGACACACTGTGCAGGACGGGTCGTCGGAGTCTGCGGTAAGGAATCCTCCCCGTGGAAGAAGCAGAGCTTCGTTGTCGAGAACGCCAGCCTTCAGGGAGATCTTGAGTGTTGTGTGAGAAGGATGCCTGAGCCGCTGATGCCAGATTTCTGGTTCCGCAAGGTAGCCGACCGTTTTCTGATAATAATTTTGCCTTGCTGCTTTGTCGTTTGCCTCCCCTTCAGATCCTGCATCGGCGGCGTCGTCAGCGTCGGCGGCGAACGCGCGAATTGAGTTTTGTTCCAGAAGCGCGTGTGGAATACCGATGATGTCATTGGTATTGCCGGCGTCGACTTGGTCTCCGGTAACAAGCAGGCGCTGATTGGGCCAGTCGCGGACTGGGAGTCCCTTCATGGGAATGCGATAGTAGCTGAACTCGGCCCCAATCACCTCAATTTCCTGTGGTCCTTGTTCTGGCAGCTCCAGTTCCTCGGTAGGTCCTGGTAGCTCCGCTGCTTCGCCAAAGATCTCGTAAGTTACTTCTTCCTCCTCTGACTCTTCTTGCATTGGTTCTGGTGTGTCAGGGGCGTACTGGTCCGGAAGAGGAGGGCCACCCCAGCTGGTGCCTCGTGTTGCCTAATAAGGATCGATCTCTGCCGTTTCCGCTGAAGGGAGTCCCGGAGCTTCGGGGTATGGAAGGGCCGCCTGCCCCAATTCTGCTTTGCCTGCAGAGGTGCCCCAGTCGCTTCCGCCTTCACGGGTGTCCCAGCCGCTTCTGCCTGCAGAGGTGCCCCAGCCGCCGGGATTGTCTTCAGCGCCCCAGCCGCCTCCTTCGCCCCAACCGCCTTCTGCGCTCCAGCCACCTTCGGCGGCATCGCTTGCTTCTGTTGCCGAGATGGTGCCCCGCTCTGCAGCTGCCTCCTCCGGTGTTAGGATTTCTCCCAAAGGACCGAGTGCAGGTTCAGGGCTACCTGATCTAGTTTCAGCCTTCTTGTCTTCTGTGGTGGCTTGTTCTGCAAGTGCTGATGTGCCGCTGTCTTCTTCCATTGATGCAGGTCCAGTCTCAGCTGGGTTGGAGGTTGAGGCTGTCGGAACGGTGCGCAGTCGCAAAATTCCGTCCGAGGCGGGTCGTTCGAGATCCATCTCTGTGGGATGCGACCAGGTCGGAGATTCTGCAGTGGCTGTTTTCAACAGCAAGGTGCGGTGAGAATCTCCTGAAGTGCCTTGAGCTGAGAACTGCAACACGAAGACCCCGTCGTTGTCCACGGCTTTACCGATGTAAGTGTTGCCGTAGAAGAGTGTCAGTAGAGCTACACTGTGAGATCCCCGATCGATCCTAAGGGGGGTTACAGGCGCGTTTGCCTAGGGGGTTATGGGCGCACTGACCCGCTACTGAAACAGGCCCTTTTATCCCAATGGTCTAGTGGTCGGGATTCTGACATGGTATCAGAGCGGTCTCGGGTTCGAATCCCGGTGTATGCACATGTTGGCCGTTGCCACTGTGCTCAGTCCTGGGCCTCCCAGTGTGGGGGGGTGTCAGTAGAGCTACACTGTGAGATCCCCGATCGATCCTAGGGGGGGTTACAGGCGCGTTTGCTTGGGGGGTTATGGGCGCACTGACCCACTACTGAAACAAGCCCTTTAATCCCAATGGTCTAGTGGTTGGGATTCTGACAAAGAGTTTGAGGGTCTTGTCCATGCGATTGCTTCGAATGTCGAATGTTTGCGCCCTTGTTGCCTTGGCAATAGGCCCAGACAAGCGCAGCAAGTTGACATGGTAAAAGAAAAATGCTTTGAACGAGCGCTTCCAACCCCAAAACACAGAAGGATCCGCACATGTGCAGCAAGTGCAGCGGGCGCGCTTTATTCGCGAGCGCCGATGACCGATGATGCTTGCAACCCACCCACGCAATATCTGGCTTGGCAATAGGCCCAGACAAGTGCTGCCATGTGACCCGGTAGAAGAAAAACGCTTTGAACGAGCGCTTCCAGCCCCAAAACGCGGAAGAATCCGCAGATGGTGCAGGAAGTGCAGCGGGCGCTCTTCTTTTGCGAGCGCCGATAACCGATGATACTTACAACCCACCCACGCCCTTGCTGGCTTGGCAATAGGCCTAGACAAGCACAGCCAGGTGACCCGGTTAGAAGAATAACGCTTTGAACGAGCGCTTCCAGCCCCGAAATGCGGAAGGATCTGCACATGTGCAGGAAGTGTAGCGGGCGCTCTTCATTCGCGAGCGTCGATGACCAATAATGCTTGCAACCCACCCACGCCCTTGCTGGCTTGGGAATAAGCCCAAACAAGCGCAGCCAAGTTACCCGGTAGAAGAAAAACGCTTTGAATGAGTACTTCCAGCCCCAAAAAACGGAAGGATCCGCACATGTGTAGGAAGTGCAGTGGGCGCTCTTCTTTCGCGAGCGCCGATGACTGTTGATGCTTGCAACCCACCCACACTCTTGCTGGCTTGGCAAGAGGCCCAGGCAAGTGCAGCCAGGTGACCTCTATGTAATTTGGCGGATATAGACATTCTAGTCCTACATGGTACATGCACTACAGGCGCGCATACTGACCAAACTGAACAGCGCATTACTTATGTTTGTAGATACTCAGTTATTACCATATTCTTGCCAGTCCACTAGATTAGGCCTTCTACTTTGACAGCACTTGGTTATAATATTTTGGATCCACATAATTTGGGAGATTTCAGAGTTTCAGTTCCGCCTTGTACCTGCACAAAAGCGCGCATACTGACCTTACCGGCCAACACATTATTCTCTCTGTAGAAATACAGTATATACCATATGTATTCCCATTTTCTTTAAGGTATACCATTTCCCACCCCCCTACCATGTTTTAGCCTATTGGATCTATGTGATTTGGTAGATATGGACATTCCAATCGTACACGGTACCTGCACTGCAGGCGCGCATACCGACCGAACTGACCAGCGCATTACTTATGTTTGTAGAGATGCACTTAGTACCATCTTCTTGTCAGTCCGCTAGATTAGGCCTTCCACTTCAAAAACACTTGGTTATATCCTTTCCGATCCACATAATTTTGAAGATTTCAAGATATCAGTTCCGCCTTGTACCTGCACACAAACGTGCATACTGACCTTACCGGCCAACGCATTATTCTCTCTGTAGAATAAAGTATATACCATATGTATTCCCATTTCCTTTAAATTATACCATTCCCCACAGATCTTCCATGTTGGATCTATGCAATTTGGCAGCTCTAGACATTCTAGTCGTACATGATACCCGCACTACAGGCGCGCATACCAACCAAACTGACCAGCGCATTACTTATGTTTGTCGAGATGCGGTTAGCACCATATTCGTGCCAGTCCACTAGATTAGGCCTTCTGAGAAAACTGAAACGAGAATGGAACACTAAGGAATGGAATGTGGTACAAATATGCAACCCTAGAAATGTGTACCCCATATGGGCTACCCCACTACAGCCTATAGAACATCATGATTTAACACACCCCCATAGGCAAAGTGGGGGAGAACAAGGGGTCACAAGACCAGTCAAGCAGAACAAAGCAAACCTCCGGGTGGATCACAAAGTCACCACACATTCCGAGCACAAGTTCAAGGCCAGAAGGTCAGTCCACATGCAGGAGCACATATATATATATAAAAGGCTAAACAAGCAAGAGCAGGAGTATATATATGTGACAGTACAAGCAAGGTCAAGAAGTGAGCAAGTGAGGCAAGGCAGGCACAAGACCAAGCTGAGTACAGAAGCGTTGATGATCACAAGGCGCAAGTGCCTTAGTGAAGATATCAGCGGTGTTGGCCTCAGAGGCCACGTACGCAAGTCGCAACTGACCACGCTGCTGCAGCTCACGAGCAAGAAAGTAGCGGAGAGCAATGTGCTTCGTTCTGTGCTCCAGGCGCTGCTCCCGACACAAGGCCAGCATGGCCTTGTTATCTACGTACAGCACTGGAGGAGAACGAGGCGGCTCTCCGAGGTCAGTCAGCAGGTAGGTGAGCCAGCAAAGCTCCTGTGCAGCCATGGCTCCTGCGTAGATCTCAGCCTCACAACTGGAGCCGAGAACAGAAGACGAGCGAGTAGCCGCCACGAAACAGAGCCGGAACCAAGGCTGAAGGTGTAACCCTGTGACGACCGCTGTGTAGCCTGGTCGTCAGCCCAAGAAGCGTCTGCGTGCCCAGTGAGGACCACTGGACTCTGCCCTCCAAGCACTAGCCCCATGCCCGACGTACTGCACAAGTAGCGCAACACCCTCTTCGCTGCAGCCATGTGCTCCGGTCTGGTGTCTCCCAGGAGCAACATAGCGTGCAAGAATGCTAAGAGGGTATGCAAGGTCAGGTCGTGTGCAGGTCATCAGGTACATGAGGCAGCCAACAAGCTCTGGGTACGGGCCACTCAACTCTACGGACTCATCCGAAGGCAGAGCTGAGAGCGAGTGGCGAGTAGGCAGAGGAGTGGCCTGAGGCGAGGAGTACGTGAAGCCGAAGCGCTGAAGAACCTGCTGCACCATGTGTGACTGAGTCAGGGTAATGGTGCGGCGTGCTCTGTCCCGGGTGATCTGCAAGCCAAGGTAGCTGCGCAGTTCACCCAGGTCTGTGCACGTGTGTCTCTTCTGCAGCTCGGACTTCACGTGGGCGAGTCCAGCAGTGTCAGCAGTGGCAAAGACCAAGTCGTCGACGTACACGAGGATGTAGAACGGCGGCAAGAGGTGTCGGTGCGTAGAAACAGCTACGGGTCGGCAGTAGAGGAGCAAACCCAAGAGCCGCAAGCGTAGTCCTTCGTGTGTCGTGCCACTCACGCGGTGCCTGGCGGAGACCGTAGACTGGCCGCTGGAGGCTCCACTGGGTGCGAGGAGGAAAGTCCCAGTAAAGCCAGGTGGGCGGCGCAAGCCAGATCTCCTCGTGCAGGCTGCCCTGCAAGGAAAGCAGTGCTGAAGTCAAGAGAGTTAAGCTCGTAGTCGCGCTGAGCGGCTATGTGCAGCAGCACCCGAAGAGTGGTCATCTTCGGGGTGGGAGAGAAGGTCTGAAAGTAGTCAACTCCCTGCCGCTGACTGAAGCTACGAGCCACGTACCGCGCCTTGAAGACAGGTGGAGAACCTGGCGGCCGCTTCACCCTGAAGATCCAAATGCCACTGACGATGTTTCGCCCCAGGTGGGGGAACCGCGTCGAACGTAGGTGCTTGAGGACTTCCAGGAAGCAATCTCTGCATCCATAGCTGCCTGCCACTGAGAGGAGTAGGGACCCCTCTATGGCCTCCGCATAAGAGCGCGGAGTCGGGATGTCAAGTGCATCCGGGTCTCCCTCAGGGGTAAGCAGTACGGACACGAGATGAGGTGAAGCAGCAGCCAGACACTGGAACTCCTCCTGCCTGTCCTCAAGGACGTCCGTGCCAAGGGCACACTCACCCCAGACGGACGGAGGACAGACAGACTCAGACTCAGCGACAAGACTAGCAGCGTAGTCTAGACGACAGCGAGCAGCAAAGTCGACGAGCTCAGCAACTAGGGCAGACGCAGCAGTGGACTCAAAAGAATGGTCAGTGACGACAGTAGCAAGGAGACGCGTGACAGTAGGACTGGCAGCACGAAGAGAGTCCGACTCCGGGTCGGCAAGAGCAGGAAGAGAAGACTCAGGAGGAGAAGGCAAAGGGGCACGCAGAGGAGCAGTGGACGGATGCAGAGACATCTGGTGCGTGCAAGGACAGGAGGAGGACGCTGACGCGAACTGTGACCACTAGTGCGAGCAGCACGGACAGGCGACGCAGGGCGAGACGAAGGCTCACGACGCTCAACAAGGACCTCCAGTAGGACCAGTGTAGGGAGACGGAGCAGGCAGTGGGGAGGCCGGCTGTAACTGTAACTGCGACGGGACAGGCTGTGGACACTCTAAGGGAGGAGGAGGACCAGTAGAAGACGGGAGACCAAGAACCTGCTGAAGGAGCGGAACGAAGTACGGCGAGGCCGCGCAGGCGACTCCAGACACAGCAGGGACAGCACCAGCACCCCCAGTGGTAGCACCAGCACCAGTAGCAGCTCCAGCTCCAGTACCTCCAGCAGCACCAGTAGTACCCCAGCAGGACCGCCTCCAGGACCGACAGCAGTAGCCTCCGCGCCAACACCCGCAGCAGCTCCAGCTCCAGAAAGTACCCGCAGGCCCAGCAGCTCCAGTACTCCAGCACGAGCACCTCCGCGACCCGTGGCACCAGCTCCCTCAGCAGCAACAGAACCTCCAGTACCCGCAGCACCCCAGCTCCAGCAGCTCGCCTCCAGCGCCGGGCAAACCACTCACGCAGCTCCTGTGGAGAGAGTGGCTCCCGCAAGACGAAGCACCCGGAGAACCGCCAGCCACAGCACCAGCAAGCCCAGCTCCCTCAGGCTCCGCACCCCCAGGCTCAGTACCTCCAGGGTAGCACCCCCAGGCTCAGCACCCCTAGGCTCAGCACCCCCAGGCGTAGCACCCCCAGGCTCAGCACCCCCAGACTCAGCTCCCCCTTTAGTAGCACCCTCAGGCTCAGCACCCCCAGGCGTAGCACCCACACGCTCAGCACCCCCAGAGTCAGCACCCCCAGGCTCAGCACCCTCAACAGCACCAGAGTCACTAGCGACCTCGACAGGCTCAACAGCGTCTACCTGGGACACACCTGAAGGGGCAGGACCCTGAGGGGGGAGGGGGTCTACGGGGGGGGACCTGGCACAAGGACGAGCGGGGGGGCGGGGGGAGGGACCGAGTGCGGTAGGGGAAGAGACGGTAGTAGGGGACCGACTCGTCGAACATGACGTCCTGGGAGGACAGAACACGACGAGAGGTGGGGTGGTAGAACTGTCCACCCTCGCGTGTCAGGGGGGAAGCAAGGAGACGCAAGGAGGAGCAGCACGAGGGGACAGCTTGTCCGCAGACAAGTCGGGACAAACGCCCGAGATCCCCAGACACGGAACGCAGAGCATCGCCAACCTTCCCGTCCACAGCAAAGCTGGGGAGGTCTCCGGCATGGAGAACCTGGGGTGAAGGTTGATCTGATGCGCCGCGTACCGAACACAAATGGCCACAGAAAATGGGGGGCAGCCGCATGCATCATGGACGTACGGGGCGACGTCCATGACAATGCCAATGCGGCGCTCAGCAATCCCATTTTGCTTTGGAGAGTCCGGAAGCGTAAAGGGTCTGGCGGATGCCTCGCGCACGACAGTGGGC